CGTGGTCTTATCCATCTTTCGCCACAACTCTCCTTCCGGATAATGTGTGACTAACGTATCGGTCGGATTACATGTACAGGTTTCCCCTCACGGTTGCGGCTCTATTTTTGTCAATGTTCCTGGGCTCATCTTGGAGGGCGGCGACGTTTACCGCGGCAGCGATTTTGAGAGCCGAATCATTCGTTATTGGACAAATATGTTCTGAATGTTTTTGCTTGTAAAAGCTGAACTTTGTTATGTGAGTATTTTAACTGGTTCAAATATCTGTGATGTGTTAGTCCAAATAGGTTTAGTAAATTATTGAATATATTCAATTTATATCTAAGTTTTAGTTTTCATAGTTTCCGAAAAAGTAAATTTAGAAGTCTTTGATTAAGTGTGTTTTGTTTTCCGTGATATATGGGCACTATGTTATTTTTTGTTCAAATGACAGTCCAAGATAGGGAACGGTGTCAGTCTGTGCGTTGTTATTAAAAACTGGAGGGCATATTTGATGCCGAAGGGTAAACGTTATACGCTGTGGTTTGGCTTGATTATCCGGATTTTCCAAAAATATATTTTAATAAAATGTTTCTGAGAACCATCGTTTTCAGTTACAGTTTTCTATTTCACATTGTTATATTAAGTTCACATTACCAATAGAATATAACAATATTTTAAAGATTTTTAACAAGCTTCTCTATCGATTCATGGAGTGATCGACATATAAGGGGTATTCATGCAACCGGTGCTAAGGATTTTAAACCTAAATGAGTCTGAAATAATTAAGACGAGAAAATTATTTAGGAAAGGTGCACTCTCGATTTTATCTCAGCCTAGGTTTCTGTATGGTGTTGTTACCTTTGTAAACGTACGTAGAGTATTAAACGTAAGGTTTGACGTGTTTAATTCTTTTTCTTTGATGGTGTTTCATATCCAGAAAAATGGAATGTGATGACAGAAAGGATTTCATCTGTGTATTCAACAAGTTCTTTGCCTTTTGAATCATCTGACATTTTTTTTATGCTTTCTAATAAAGCATTTTTAACCAAATAATCCAACAACTCAGTCTTTTTACAGCACAGACAAGTTAAATTTGTGCTGACTGCTTAGCACGGTAGCACATTAAGCATTTGCAATATGTGAATGATTAACCCTATTTTCTATTGATGTCGAATAAGAGAAAATTGCCTAGCAATTTTCTTTCGAGTCGTAATTTGCCTAGCAATGGGCTCCATCCCATGAGTGGAGAATTTAATCAAACTATGGGACAGTGACAGATGGTCGTGTAGGCTTGTCCCAACAAACTTGTACGATATTGGAGTGACTTGCTCAGGCTCCCCATGTCTCTGGCTATTTGTCAACCCTTCTCTCTTTTCGGATTAGTTTAACGTTTCTATTGGGTAGCATCATTATTGTATTCATGTAAATTTAAAGATGCATCGTAATATTTGTTGACTGATCTCCACAGAATAATTATTTATAGCTTACAAGACTTATAAACCTAAAACTAAATATTAATAAAGAAAAACAATTTTTGTTTCATTTATTGGGCTCCATTAAATCATCAAATTCCTCTCATATCCCTACAATCCAAAATCCTTCGCAAAATACTTAAGGTTTCCTATTTTATGATAAATAATATTATGCATAATGACCTTAATATAAAAAAAAATGAACTGTACTACCAACTATCCATAAAGGGTAGTTGGGTTCAGCACAATGTGTGGAAGTACTATTACAAGGCCAACGTTTATACAGGGAAGTGATTTGGCCGAGATCACGGTCAACCGCTTTTCCCCGTACAGTATAACCGGTTTTCCCCTTAATTAATTATTTAATTAAGAGTACCCATTTTATAGAGTACCCACTTTATGAGGATAGGCTGAGGTGCCCCAGGAGGGTCTCATGGCCTCAGGATCGACCCACGGCAGAAGAAAAATTACTAGTCATCAGCCGAATTCGAACCTGCGACCTTGAGCTCTGGAAGTCAGTGCTCACCCACTGAGCTACCCGACTCACCTAATGTTGTATATATTATCGGTTTATCAAAATCGAGATACCTGCATTTCCACACCAATAAACCTCAGGTTCATTCCAACCTACTAGTTTCTAACCTTGCATCCTTGATTCCTGACTATCCTTTTTGTGAAAAGAAGATGGTCTCGGGACCTTCTAATCTAGAACTATTATTGGAATGCTATCAATGTCATTATGCCAATCCACATTTACTTTTTGTAATTTTAGTGGATACAGTTGTAAATTTCATTAAATAAATGTATATATATATATATATATATATATATATATATATATATATATATATATTATTGTACAGTTTAACCTTTCGTATAGTAAGAAATACATAATTTATATATTTTTGTGTGATTTTCTGTGGGCACAATTAACATTGTTATTTATCTATTTTTAATAATATTTTAATATTTAATATCCTAAAACTAGTATTTAAATTTAGCCTCTTTTTTAAGTATATTTTGTCATCAATTGGTAAAAAAAAAATAACACCGGTATCGATAAAAATCCAGCAAGACTGCTGGAGTAAGCTTACATTATACTGAGAGCAAAAAAAAAAAAAAAAAAAAACACTAATAAACTTACTAAATATTGCATTATAAACTGGAAGGAAAATAATCAAACTAGATAAGTATGCCAGGAGCACCAAAGTGAAAAAATACTTTCACTGAAATCTAGAAGACAGTATGAATTTATGGGGATAAATAAAAATAATTTAGATTAATAAAAATGTATTTGGCTCCATTTATTTATTATAAAAGATCTCGAATTTAATCTTCTGGAAAAATATATTTTACATATTTCATGGTAAACAGTCCTTAATAAAATCCTGATTGAAAAAAAAAAATTCTTTAACCACATAATACAGCTACGTGGTGAGGAATTTTCAAGGTTGTTAAAGAGGAATATTTTTATTTTTTGCTTCCTAGTTTAATAGGTAAACATTTCAAACTTTTTTTTACAAAACTTCTTTCTGATATTTACATTCCAGTAGAGCTCTTGAGATAGACTGATGCATAAATTCAAAAGATTCTAGTGGCATACTGTTTTAAAATTTTTGAATTTGGTTCTAACATTTTTTTTTCTTTGAATGTCTGAAGTGTTGAGAGTGGACAAGGGAATAGCAGGATTGCCAGATTTGGGTTTCTTTTCTAAATTTATAAGTATTTTTACGCTTTGTGGTTTTTTATTTCAAGTCTAACTGATCTCTCAACTAGCCTAAATAATTAATCCTGATCTTATTCTGAAGGAAATAAATTCGTTTACAATAGCAATACAATTGGAGCAAGGTTTACACCCCGCTTAAAGATAAAATAATTACTTAGCAACAATATAATGTAGTATATGAAATTAGGTGCGTGCATTGCTGGAAGGTATATATTGGTGAAACTTCCCAAACTGTGCATAAAAGAATTTATCAGCATCAATACTACTACAGGAATATTAAAAGTAACACGATATTGATTTTAATAATGTCCGAAAAAGAAAAGAATGGTTTCAAGATAAAGATATTTGCGGCTATGCATATTTTACAATGGTTAGCTAATGTTAATAATAGGACTGATAATAGAAATTTGAATAAATATTATTCTGAAATGTTCAGTATCTCGGATAAGTGAAATATATCTGACTAATTTGCTAATGTGTTTATTTTTTAACTACATCAACTGTTTTTTATTAAAACTTTAATTTGAAGTGCATTTTATTTTTTTTTCTCGTTATAATTATACATTTTCGACGTAATGTTTGAATTTTATGTGACACAGGTATGAAATCTGGTTGGATGTTACATGTTTTTATCTGTCCTTTTATTTTCCGATCAGCTGTTTTATTATACCCTTCCTTAACTGTATTACCTTAGCTTTTTTCCACCATGAGAGAGAATGTAGAGGAGTGATGTAAACTTCAATTTGCTTTTCTTTTCTTTCCTGATGATGCCTGAATTGGCGAAACGTTGACAGGTTTTTTTATTCTTTACCTGCATTTTGAAAACATAAGGGCGTCTGGATGCACTTTATCTTAATTATAACCTAACTTTGTTTACAATATTAGGAAGACATTTTTTTTTGTTTATATAAACGTATTTACGCCTGTCAACTTATTGTTGACAATCAGGAAATGTGATGGCGATACATGAAATAATGACATGACAGGCATAGGGGAGGAAAGTACTCAGCAGTACCTCTTCCCTAACTTGTTCCAATTACTTAGGTTGTTTAAGGAAGGTGATTCTCATCCAACGCCGTTTTGTCCCCCACATGTTTTGAGGTATATCAGCTTTGGCCATGTCTAGGTGGAGGTCAGTATGTAAAGTTTTGTTAGTCCCGTACCAAGGTACTTTTGTTAAGAGTCGCAATAATTTTGATTGGAACGTTTGAAGTTTTTGTAGGTGGGTCTTTTCAGCGATACCGTATATTTGTGATAAGTACGTCCATATGGAGTCAAGTAAGTATGTATATGTATTCAGTTTCTGTTTTAGTTGGAAAACAATGATTAAAAACTTAGGGTTAAAGTTAAATAGCATAGCAACCGTGGAAGCTAATATGAAAAAATAATAATAAATATTGCCAAAAAGATACATGTTAAATTCCTTTTATGGAAAATTACATCTGGTATCAGCCTATAAAAAGATGTATTGCTTGGAATTATTAATGATTTTTTTTATGAAAAATAAATTCTATTGGTTGTTTTCATTTATTCCATCCTTACAAATTTCTGTTTGTCAGAGTCTAATATTTTACATTGATCTGATTTTCTCACTTTCTTCTTTAAATATTACTTCTTCATACCATTTGGATACCATTTTGGATAACTATTTGGAATTCGGATTGGATATTTCCTCGTACTAAAATCTTATAGACTAAATAGTAAACTTTTTATACATTAGGGTAAGGACAAAGATAGGATAAGCAAAGCAATACGCTACTACAGTGACTGCCTACAAAGCAAAGGTTAGGCAAGTGAATGCACCACTACGGTCTACCTACTAATGCACTTGTCTCCGGTAAACCCGCAAGGTGGCTCTGCGATCGGCACTTCTCCGTTCACCCACTCGATGTCCGAAGTCAAGTGGAGTTCCTAAAACAGAAGATTCATAGATAAAATATAGAAAGTTTTGTTTCTAATGCCTTTCTAGGAGTTCACATATTCATGACGATGTTATGTTAATCGATAGCGATATCTCAATCTATTTATTGTATGTACATTCAACACACACTTTTACTTTCACACCTACACTAATTAAGGAAAGTATTGCAATCAGGTCAAATTTGCGATGTGCGGATTTCGACAAATCTGTACGTTTCAGAGCCCCCTGAGACGGACATTTTTTTTTTCCACCATTACACATGGTCAGTCTGTCTGTGCCAAAATTATCTAGTAGACCAATTTTTTGGTTTCATTTTTTATGTTGTATGGTTTTGATTACTGATACCCGTGACACAAATGGGGGGATCCCTGCGGATTATCGGTTGCGAAATAACTGAAAAACATATTTTTCTATAGACTGTAGTGCAAAAACGGCTTTAACGATTTTGATGAAGATTTCCTATAATTTTCTAATTAATATCCTTTAAATTTTTGTACATGTACTACATCACCGAGAAAATTCAGGAAAAAGACATAAAGAAAAGAAAAATGTATTGGGGCCTGACTCGCTAAGTATATATTCGATGTTAAATTTATATAAAACTTTTAAAAAGTAATTAAATTATCTACAAAAAAATCATCAGAAGCGAAGCATTATTAGCTATGGTACAACGTATTATATTTTCTACACGTTTTTATTTATTACTACCTACCTATACCTAAGTAAAGAAAGTATTGCGAACGGATCAAATTTCCGATGTGCGGTTTTCGACGGATCTTTACGTTTCAGAGCACCCTGAAGCCAGTTTTGTTGAAATGCGGTGAAATTCTCAAAACTATATAAAAATAGTTCATTTCGGACAAATACTAACGAAGAAACTATTATTCAATTTCTTATGTAAGATTATGAGTTTAAATCATGGTGCTAGAAAGGGAAGAGAGAAAAAAGAAAAGTAAGAGAAAGTAAAAAAAATCGATTGCCCCCATCACAAAAGTTTCACTATTTTCTCAACTTTTAACAGAAATTATTGTATGACGAAATTGTGTTATGGCAAAATGTTTTTTATTGGAAATATTAGAGACTATAGATTTTTTTACACCGATCTTCCACAAGCTGGTTTAAATTGCTTTAGTTTATCAAAGAACCCTTACTCAATTTCGATCAATTTTCAGAAAAATAAATCTAATTCGGCTTTTTTTTTTATTTCTTAATAGACATATTTAAAGATATAAAAACTTTCCTGAAATAGGTAGGAAATTCGTGTGAGTGGACACACCAGATTTTTTAAAATAAAACTATTAAAGAGATAAAATAGATAATTCTTAAAAGAATTTATTGAAAGGAAAAAAGTTACGGTACTAAAAATATCCCGGATCAAGTTCAAATAAAAAAAACTATTACATTGCCATTTATGAAAACATTCGTAAGTAAGTTCATTAGTAAACAATAAACAACCTCCAGAAAAGTTAACATAAGCCATATCTTTTATCTGTGAAATTAAAACCTTTTTAGATAATTTATATCATCGAAGTTCCTTGACGAACAATTAAAAACATCAACTTTAATAAAGAATAAATAAAAGATTACTCAGTATGAAATGGAATTTTTTCATTGAATAAAATTGTAAAAAAAAAAAAAATGATCATGATGGTGTGTGTAAACAACAAGCAATATTGGCACAGACAGAACGAGAAATGGCGGAAAGAACGTTTTTTGGAAAGTAAACGTTGATTTGTTTACAAAAGAACCCATTAACTTCAATTTGACTCCGAACCATTTTTTTATTACTATTTTTTTTAAACGCTGAATCATACATGGCTTGAGATATGGTTCTGGCGACTTATAAAAAAATCATATTTTTCTTTCGATATACTTTTGTGACAATTATTGAACAATGGTGAAAACAATAAGTCTTCGGTAATTTAAAAATAAATACCATCAGCAATAGTGTTACTATAATGTCTCTTAAGGACTTTTTATAAAAAAGTAATTGCACAAAATAAAATATGATAAATATAAAATTATTTAAAATTCTGCTTCTTTTATGTGATCATAGCCTTCGAGATTTTTAAGGGATATGGAAAACAGTAGTTGGTAATTAAAAAAAAAAATTATCACCAGCATGGATTGAACCATTTTTTTTTTGTTTAATGAAAAGTAATTGCACAACTCACCATAAACATCATCTGAAAAACAAAAATAAAGAAGAAAATTTTTTTATCTACGAACAACTTAAATCGTAGAACTGTTGTGTGATGATAAACGGCTTTGAGAACTTAAGAGATCTTGGTAAAGACCATTTTTTCAATTGGTAGCTTCGACTGTCATGGTCCCAATATTTTCTTTCATCATTTTTCAGCATCAATATATTTTTTTGTTAAATTATTTTTTTAATGAAAATTTTTGGTGAGTAATGTTTCAATAATCCCTTCATTGCACTTCAATATTATTGACAATATGTATGGGGCAGTTAATTTTTTTCTCTTAGAAATTCATTATACAATTTATACAAGCCTATTTTTATTAAACTTCAATTGCACTGCAATTTATGATTCAGTACTTAGTAAAGAAGTTCATTTTCTATCGTTGTGCCAGGAGATGATTTGGTCATGATCGGTTTATACATTTACTTGTATTTGAACATTGCAAATTGAAGATGAAATGTTATTAATTTTTTTTTACAAATATTTTTAAAAGTTTTTTTTTTCTATTTAGGAACTGTTATTGATGAACGTGACAATAAGCATGTAGAGATAATCTGTGACAACCAAATAACATTTTAGACATGGAGAGGGATTGTTTCCAGCAGCTGTTGTTCTTTACTTCCTTAGTTCAGGATATGAAATCTCACATCCAGCTCCTTTTCAGTCTTCTAATGGGACATATCAGCCGTGACTATGTTGTTAAAAAGTATATTGTACCATTATAGTTTAGTATGATATCGGGGATAAAGAGTGCGTATACGATGGTCTATAATTGGTTTTTGTAAGTCAGATAACGGAGATTTCTTATTAACGTGCCATTAGTATTAAAATTTTGGATTGAAAAGATTGTATGATTCTCTGCTGAACCGTAAATCTACAAAGCGTATGTTTATGTGTTAGTTTAAGTAGGTATTGTATTAAGTGTCTAATGTAGAACTAAAGTTGCCATTGTTGTAAATGATTTTTGTTTTTACATTATGTAGATATGTTATTTTTGTTTTCCTTTCATAATATTTAACTATTAATTTTTATCTATATCTTTTGATATTTTTTCTTGTACTTTTGTAATACTTGGATCATTACCTGTCAACTCTCATTGTAAACTTAAACTTTCAATTTTAAACATCTCAGTTTTCTTATTTCAACCTTTAATTTTAATGGTTTTTGCCAACTAACCTCCATTGAATCTTAAACTTTTAATTTTCATAGTTTTTATTAAATTTTCTGCTTGAAGTCTTTAATATTTAATACTAAATTGAACTTTTTAACATTTCGTTTTGTAATTTTAACTTTGAACTCTAACCAATTTACTCAAATTATTGTTATCATTAAGTTTTAATTTTACCAGTTTTTTAAAACTTTTATTTTCTAATTTTCAACTTTAAAAATTTTAATTGTTTTTTCAACGCCATTTCTTTTAATTTTATACTTTTAAGTTCAATTGTTTTGTTTCAAACCTAAATTCAGTGAGGCCTGATTATAGTCGTGGTTTATTGTTAAAGAAGTTGAATCATCTGCGTAGGTACCAGTAAATGTCTTGGAGTAGGTAGGTATGCCATGTGTGTATAAGGTATAATAAAGGAGCTGGCATTAATCCTTGCGGTACTCCTGCTAAGACTGGACGAACTAAAACATGTTCACTAAATTCATTAATATTATTACTGCCTACATGATATAACAATGTAAGCATATTATTACCGGAAGTGGATTGGACTGTCCGGACCTATAGGTGTAGACTCCGACCGGATACAGACCGTACTTGCCGGAAGGACCAGCCCTTCTCACCAGCAGGGTATAGTTACCCTCCGCATCTCCGTTCTCGTCCATGTACACCATGTATCTGCAACAGGATAAAATAAAACATATAGCGACTAGTGGAAAGACTTAGATGTATCTAAAGCATTCGACATTTAATGGTGTAATATTACGCTACTAGATGGGTGAAAAGAAGTTGAAACAATGATCTCAGGAACTATTTGATTATTGATAAGTCTTTATAACTCGTATCCTATAGGCATTTATCTAGAACAAAATAAAGACGCTGTCCTAAAGGACTTGTCATTTCTCATCAATAATTTCTCATCTCATCTAAATGAATATAGACTATCTGGGTTCATCAAAATTCAATATCAATAATTTGATTAAAGAACTTATAATTTATAAAAGTGAAGTTTTAAATTTCAAAATCCTTTCTAACTTTCAAGATAACTATCAGACCCTGAAAAACTGATTGAAGTTCTGAGACTTTTAATTAGTATCATTCTGCTAATCATCCAAGATCAAGAAAATAAACCCCTCATAACTTTTCTATAATTTTTCCTGGCTCTGATTTTTCCCGTTTCGTTGTCTTTCCGGAATCGCAGGCTAATATTACATTTTATATCTTCTGAATTGGAGGATAACTATTCAGACTTTGCTGCTTTTCTAGTTGCTGTATAAAACATCTATGAATGTGACGTAAATTTACATTGTTTTCATTCGTACGATCCTATCTAACAGGTAAAAAAATTGAATATTCAGTTTTTGGATCAACTATGAAGAGCGTTATTTGTAATCAATTTGTCTGTATTTGTATTTTTCCGAAAATACGGAGTAAATTGTGAAACAAGAAATATATTTGTATTTATCAATCATTCCTTCATTTACTAGTGTAGATGCTAATATTTCCTATATATATTAATTGGGGGTTTTAAAGCTATTTTCCAACAGTATTCTCGAGCATCAAATTAGCTGTTGTCAGTAAAACCCTCATAGATAAGAAAACTTAGAGAAATTGTTCTATGAGAAGATCTTAGGCGACCCACTAAAGGCTATGAAAATGAAGAATACTACAGCAAAAATAAAATATACCACAGCAAGTGAAAAGAAAAAGAATCAGCAAATAAATACGCATGACAAATTTCTGAAGGAGCAACTTAATTATTTTTTATTTAATTAAATATATGTATTGTTTTTTAGCTAAGTTTAATTATTTTATAGAAACAGTCAAAATGTAATTCGTGATATATATATATATATATTTTTTTTTTTTTTTTTTTTTTTTGAGAGAGCGAGAGTTCGATTATGAATTTATGTATTCGAATTGACACATTCTAGAAAATTAACCCACAACGACACATTTAAACAAATAACACAAAAATGCATTCAAATGCTTGGAATTCGATATAAGTATACAGTGTAGTCTTTTTTATTAATATTTATTTTTTTGTTCTGGTTCCAATCGATAATCCCGCAAAATCTGAGTGGGTTTGAATATCAGCGGGAAACGAACCCGGGCATGATGTGACCGACCACTAGTTGTGAGGTCAATTTGAATCCAATTAGTCTAAAACTGCAATTACAGAAAGCTATCAAGGCCATCACATCGCCTGTCGTTTGAATTTAATATTCATTAATCATACATCACCTCATTGGGCTAGTGGGAACAATTATTTCAAAGATATTGGACTGCGCTCTAACCTATCCAATCTGCGGAATCTATCCAAAAACCTATGGATTTTTAAGGATACATTCCGAGGCTGTGGCAAATGATTTTATTTTTAGATTTTCCATACCCCAGTTGTAGAGTGTGTAGAGTATAGCCCATAGGTGGTGAACCGCTGTCGGAGGCCGCATGTGGCCTCTGTGACGCAGTTGTGTCCTCCAAACGTTTTTGTGCGATATTTATTAATCTAGTGCTAGGATTAATTAATATTTAATTATTTAAGCAAAGAAAATTTAGAAATTAATAGTATTAGTATGAAGGTTTGCATATTAAAGGTAAAATATCAAGAATTATTGCGACCTCCATTAGCACTGTCTAACCTTACTGTAGCATCTAATGATAGTTACCCACCTGTTTAGTCTGTTTTACATATAAATTGTCACGTGTTAATTAGAACAGAGAAAAAAAAATATTAGGGGAAAAAATAAAATTGAAATAATTCCAATTTAATATTTAAAAAAAAAATCATCCATAACGACCTTAATGTTCCTTATGTTTCTGACCTGGCCCAATCCAGATACCTATCCTTCCATAACAAATTTCAGAACCATCCAAACGCTCTAGCCTTGCTTCCACTTCGATCCCTGTCAATCCTCCGAGGCGTCTGAAAAGAAGATGTCCTCGAGATCTCCTTTTGTAAATACATTTTTAAAGTGCTACCAGTGGGTAGTTTCTCAACAAGTGGTTTCATCTTATTATATTCTTTTGTCCACATTAACTGAATGTATTTTTATTTGTAATACAGTTGTAAATATCATCAATAAAAAAAAAAAATATTTAAAAAAATAAATCTTTACGTGGAAAAAATCTGCAAATTAATAAAAACAAATATTATTAATTACTCTGCCTATCTCTCGATTGCTTGACCTTATACCTAATAATATTTTTTTCTTCACCAAGAGTCAAGACATTTCAATGATCGAAATTCGAAGCATAGCTCTACAATTGAACACAAATATATTTGTATTTCCCTCAATGCCCAAGCGAAATATAAATAAATAAAATTTATAATTTTTTCTTAAATATTAAAAAACTAACCCTCTTTTTATAAAATCGCTCTGGTTTGCATTAGCTTGATTAAATTTTAATTGAGGCTCCGTGAGTAAAGAACTTCACGATAATTAAAAATTAATTATCCCTTCACTGCGTTAATGTTTTCATTCATTGATTAATAGATTTCTCTACACTAAAGGCAGGTAATATTTTATCGAGATCAAAAGATATTAAAAAGAAAAAAAATATGAGGAAGTATGATAAGGAAAACCTCAAGGAAAGGTATTGAATGAAATAAAAAAAATACAAGTTATTTTGCAGGATTTTCCAATAATTTTATTCAACAATGTTTAGAATCTTTCATATCATCCAGTGAACTCAACTGATCAACCCACATATTTTATGGTGCAAGCAGTACATATTTTGATATATAAGACATAGATATATATTATATATATATATATATATATATATATAATGTCTGTGTGTGTGTGTGTGTTCAAATATCTGAAGTAGTAATTAAATTCTTTGGTACTCAAAAAAGGTTAAAATACTTGGTACTCAGAACTCGGGGTAGCATTGGCCCATCTCTGCCAAGTGGGTTAACGTGGGTGTGAAACACGGTAGTCTGTCCGGTAGTCTGATAAACCGAAGATTATGAGTTCGAATCCCGGTTCCGAGAGAACTTTTATCCCAGCCATTAATCTCCTGACCTATCCCCGGCTCAGCAAAATCCCGTATAGCCGAAAATATACTTGTAAAAACAGGCAACTAAAATAAAAAAAATAAAAAATGCCATTCATGTTTTGTAAAAAATCCAAAAAGAAACTTTTAACCTTACGGCAGTGATATAAATTAAAGCTGTGAGTCGGTGAGTCTGCAATAGCTCTTCATCTCATCGCTGTATTTCGTGATTTAATAAGAATATTGAAAAATTGTGTTTCAAACTTAAAAAGGTTATGAAAAATTTACTGGACGTCAGGTAGCATTTGGAACATTATATTACCATAAAATTCGTTTCTCAGGGAGAATTTTCTACCTTAATGGAATGAAGAGAAACTACCTACGTCTGTCAAAGAAAATTAGATCTACAACGGAGGAAACAAAATGTCTAATATATAGGATACGATATTGAGCTAATTTTATATTTTATTATGAATAATGCGAGGAAGCATTACATAATTTGTTGTAATAATAAATTGATCTTGAAACAGCTCACAAAGGGTCTAGGAGGGAAATATGGTATCTCAACTTTACATTACTCTTGGAAGTTAAAAGTTCATCCCAACAGTCTGGTTTTACTAAGCGTGATAATATTTTAATGAAGCGAGCTTATTTAATTTAAGCTTATTTAAATTAAAGAATAATTTAAATATTACTAACAACATCTAACTGCCGAATGTTCTGTTAGGGTAAAGAAATATTTCTCTGCTATCTATTTGGGAAAGTGGATTAAAATAAAAATGAATTATATTATAGATTAATAAAAACTGACAAAATCAAAGATACTACGATCCCACTTTTCAAAAATAGGAATTAAATTTTCTTTTAATTAAAATGAAGGATTTTTCGGTATAAATAATGAAATTCAGCAGCCTTGCAAAGTGTGTCGAAAACAGATATCTTACTCAGCAGAAACCTTAGGAATCACCTCGAAGCCAATAATACAACGGGTAAAAAGATTTGGTTATAAATTGATCGTGATAGACAAATTTTTAAATATAAAACACTCTCGTGAATTTAGAAAAAATAAAAGAATTTGGATTGAAATGTTTCTAGTTTGTTTCTTTACTAAAGCCTATATGGAGCTAAGCTTCTGAAATATACGAAACAGCCAAAACGACCCACACACGAAAGCTACAAACCATGGTACCGCAAAAACATTACTTTAAATAAAGCTCTGAATATGTCAAAAGTTAACGACCACGTACGGACAAACTACAAAAAAATTCACAATAACTTACGTGGGCATACTAACACACTGATACAAGATATGGCCTCGACTAACATGCCCGAAAACACGCTTCGGAGGCTCAAAAGAAGCTGAGTGAGGGATTTCCTCACCTAAAAATATACTGAAGTCAAGAAGGGATGCAGCTGGGCACTTATGACAGGTGTGAGTTAACACTGGGGGGGCGGGTTGGCCGAATGGGCTAAAGCGTGTGCACAGCACCGCGAGTTGCCAGGCAACCAGATATATGAATATTTGAGAGACAAGAAAAGTACGAGTTCGCGTCCCGGTGCCAGAGGGGTTTTCAAATTCCCCGCCCTCACCCTCCGGCCCTGGAAAATCCCGTATAGTCTAAACAGCGAGGTAGGGAAGAACAAAAAAAATAATAAACGACACACTACTTTCAATGTTT